GCACCTAGGGATTGGGCCTGCCCTCTGCCACCCGGGAGCAGGCCTAAGCCAGCAGGGTGTTATCTCCCGAGGGGTCCCAGAGTGCGAGAGGGCACAGGCCAGGCTGAGGGCCCCCCCCCTTCATTTTTGTGCACTGGTCCTCTAGTGTGTGTGTGTATATATATATTTAGGTGCATATATGTTTACCAGGGTTATATCCTATTTTTGGATCGATCCCTTTTGTATTATACTAGTAGCCCTGTGCATGAATCGGTGCACCAGTAGCTTGCCAGTAGCTTGCTGCCACCCTCCAGTAGCTCTCCGCCTGCTGCCCTACCCTCCTGTAGCTCACCCTGCCCCCCTGCACCCTCCTTATAGCTTTCTGCCCTGCCCCCTCCTGTAGATCTCCACTGCCCACGTGTAGCTCGCTGCCCCACCCTCCTGCTGATCCATGATCTTGTCATTACTAATGTGGTGGTTTCACCCCATAACAAAGAAACAGAATTTCAGGAGGATGAGGCCCAGAAATCAGGATTTTAAAAAGATTCCCAGGTGATTCTCATGTGCAGCCAAGGTTGAGAACTACTGGACTAGAGGCTAATTGCTATTTTTAATCTCTTAAGTGGCCTCAGGGCGAGATATTATCCTATAGGGTGTTAAACTGTCTGCCCACAGGCAAAGCAAATGTCTATGTGGGAAACATGTCCTCCGCTGTATGAGGGAATGACTCAGTCCAGAAAACTTGGTGTGTATGCCTTCCAAGCTCTATCCCCTGAGTCCCCATTCCTGGCTTCTGCCCTCCCAGCTGCAGTCCACTTCACCCTCCCTCTGCCGAAGCACAAGGTGGGTGGCTCCACTGGGAATTTTTTGCATTGGTCCTTTAAGAGGATACCTGAATTATCAGCTGTCACTCCCTGACAAACAGGATCCCACTGCTTTTCACAGCCAGATGTTATGTGGTGCTCTCTGCTGGTGGGCCCAGCTTGGGGATTAGCCCCCAGATTTCTTAGTGGCAACCTTTACACCTGAGATATCTCTCCAGGACTTCAGTTGCTGTCTGTGGGTACCTGGCCAGCCGTTTCGCACCACTGCCCCTCCTACCAGTCTCTATGCAGTCTCCACTTTCAGTCCTCGGGTGTCAGGGTTCTCTCCTGTGAGTTTTCCATTGATTATTCAGGGAGCTATTCTGTATTTTAGTTGTAATACCAGTTTGTTTCTAGAAGCAAGTCCGTGTAGCATCTGCTTACTCTGCCACCATTTTTTAAACCTAGTAGTTTTTTGTTTTTGTTTTTTAAAAAATATATTTTATTGATTTTTTACAGAGAGGAAGGGAGAGGGATAGAGAGTTAGAAACATCGATGAGAGCACCTACAATGAGGCATAGGTTGACCTCACACACTTGAAGAACAGTGATGCTGGCCCCGGGCCACTGAGCATGGAGGTTCAGTTCCTGCAGCAGGGGCAACTCTGGCCCCCGGCTCCTCCCTGCCAGGCACGGTGGGGGGAGAGGGAAGCACAGGATGTGATCACCGCCCTGGGGCAGGGAACTCGGAAGTCTGGCAGAGGGACCCAATGTTCAGCCAGGAACCAAATGGAAAATGGGCGGATGGTCCAAATGATTCTGTGTGTGGGGCTGAAGGGAGAGCGGCTGGAGTTCCAAATAGGTTGTCTGATCCCTATAGTAACACTGCTAATACTATATCCAACACTAGTGGTGAGAGTGGGCACCCTGTCTTATTCCTATTCTTAGGGGAGATGAGTTAAGTTTTTGCCCATTGAGTATGATGTTTGCTGTAGATTTGTCATGTATGGCCTTTATTATGTTGAGGTGTGATCCCTCTATTCGCACTTTGATAAGAGTTTTTATCAAGAAAATGTGTTGGATTTTGTCAAATGCTTTTTTCTGCATCAATTGATATGATTATGTGATTTTTGTCTCTCAATTTGTTTATGTGATATAATGCATTTATCAATTTGTGGATATTATACCATCCTTTCATCCCCAGAATAAATCCCACTCGGTCATGGTGTATGATCTTTCTAATGTAATGCTGATCCAATTTATTAAGATTTTTTTGAGGATTTTAGCCTCTATGTTTATCAGAGATAGTGGCCTGTAATTCTCTTTCTTTGTAGTGTCTTTATCTGGTTTTGCGATTAGGTTAATGCTGACTACATAGAAGAAGCTTGGAAATGTTCCTTCCTCTTAATATTTTGGAATAGTCTGAGGAGGATAGGTTTTAGTTCTTCCTTGAATGTTTGGTAAAACTCCCCTGTGAAGCCATCTGGCCCTGGGCTTTTGTTTGCTGGGAGCTTTTTGATGACTGCTTCAATTTCTTCCATAGTTATTGACCTATTGAGATTTTTAGCTTCTTCCTGATGAAGTTTTGGAAGGTTGTATTTTTCTAGGAATATGTCCTTTCCTCCAGGTTGTCTAGTTTGTTGGAGTAGAGCTATCCATAGTATTTTTAAACAATCATTTGTATTTCTGTGGGGTCTGTTGTTATTTCTCCTCTTTCATTTCTGATTTTGTTTATTTGGGTCCTCTCTCTGCTTCTTGAGCTTTCATTATGTCCCATAGATTTTGGATTGTTGTGTTTTCATTGTCATTTGTTGCCATGATGCTTTTTAGTTCTTCTCTGATATCTTTGGTAACCCACTCATTGTTTAATAGCATGCTATTTACCCTCCAGTGTTTGACTTTTTTATTGCCTTTATTGTAATAGATTCTCATGGCTGTGGGCTTATATCTAGAGTCCCCTTCTGCCAGCAGACCCCCTTCTACTTTCGAGGGCTACACTGACCCCAAGGGCTCCGGGTTTGGTGGAGCACAGTCTCCCCCTGAGACTCTAGTCTCCTCTGCACGCGGTTCTCCCTCCAGCCAGGATCTCAGATCTCACCTTTCTGTAGGCCAGTGGTTCTCAACCTTGGCTACACATTAGAATCACCTGGGAATCTTTTTAAAATCCTGATTTCTGGGTCTCATCCTCCGGAAATTCTGTTTCTTTGTTATGGGGTGAGGCCACCATAACTAAGAAACAGTTTCGTAGCAAAGAAACAATTTCCGGAGGATGAGGCCCAGAAATCAGGATTTTTAAAAAGATTCCCAGGTGATTCTAATGTGCAGCCAAGGTTGAGAACCACTGCTCTAGGCTATCTCTGACCTTTCTGTGCACTGATTTTCTCACCAGCTGTCTTTAATTCACCAATTGCAGGTGGATATTATTCAATTCAGCTGTTCCTTCTATCTGCTCTGTGAGAAGGCACAGGGCCCGCCCATGTATTCGGCGCATCTTTGTCTTCCCCTGGACAAACTTTAGGCGCCCATGGTCTGGTAGGCTGGAGTCTTGGTGTTCATGGGTTCGCAGCTGAGGCAGCTGGTCCCGGGAGGTTATATGAGGTCTCCCCAGTTGAAGGGAAGGCTGGGCTTCCAATCACAGCCACTCTCCCCTTCAAGATGGCATGGTCTCTGCAGCAGAACCGGCTGCTCCGGGAGAGATTTCAGCAGTAGTAGAGGCTGCCCGGCCAGGGGCGCCTGGTCCGCTAGTCCCCAACAGTCCTGTGGAATATAGCAGTCCCTCACTCATAAATACAGATACTCCCTGCATGTCCATGCAGTCTCCTTTCATTCTCTCATTCACATACTATCTTGCAGCCTGCCATCCCGTTGGCAGCCATCTTTGTAATGAAGTTTTTAAATTAAAAAATGTGGAATAGGTAAAAGTTTTTCTGTTTTCTCTAATACTTTGTGAATAGTTGGTTTAAATAACATAATTTTATCTGACAATTTTTATAAATTTAACATCTCATTTGCAGTTAGTTATTGGGAAATGACTTTTTTAGAATAGCCTTAACATATATTTATAGAACACCTATTTAACTTGAAGTTTGCTGCAAAAGAGCTTAATAGGAATGCCAAGAAATGTGATAAAGAAGAAAAGGCTGAAAAGGCCAAGATTAAAAAGGTAAGCTACTTTTATTATTTTTATCTTTTTAAAATTCATGATAGCACAATTAATCATGCAAGAGTGGATGTTTCAGTTTATTTTACATTGAAGAAAGATTACTGGCTTAGAGAAAGACAAATATCACATGATTTCACTTATATGTGGAATCTAACACAATAAACTGATAAATAAAACCAGAGACATGGAAACATGGGACAGACTGTTGAATCCCTGGGGCAGGGAGCAACTGCGTGGTGGGGGAAAAAGGGAGCATTTGGAATACTCTCAGCAATAAAGGTAAAAAAAGAAAGATTACTGGCTTTAGCATTTTAAAGCAAATATATATTTAAATAAATTATTATTTGATATTGTTAATAATGGCTTTTTTGTTTATTACTATTTACATGTTCAAGTGTGGGTCACATACAGAGTATAGCTGTTCTGTTACCTACATCTAAAGATTGCCCTTTGGTTTGTAGCCCAAACTACTTTTAGAAGTATAAAGCCTATATCTAAGAATAAAATTTAATTGTTTTTTAAAGTGAGAAGCATTTCTTTTTAAAAAAAAAATATTTTATTGATTTTTTACAGAGAGGAAGGGAGAGGGATAGAGAGTTAGAAACATCGATGAGAGAGAAACATCGATCAGCTGCCTCCTGCACACTCCCTACTGTGGATGTGCCCACAAATAAGGTACATGCCCTTGACCGGAATCGAACATGGGACCCTTGAGTCCGCAGGCTGACGCTCTATCCACTGAGCCAAACTGGTTAGGACTAAAATATAATGTTTTTTGGTTCATTTTAATTTCTGTAGTCTCTGAAGTTTATATCTAAACAGTGTATAGTATTAATGTGTATTATGTTTGTGTATTTACTAGGAGGTTTAACTGCAAATAGTTGTACTCATGGCTATGATGTATTTTACACTAAAAGGATCAAAGCAAAATCAACAATAAAAAGCCATAAAAAAGAAGGAAATCCTTCCATTTGCAATAGTGTGTATAGACCTTGAGGGTATTATGCTAACTAAAAATAGATCAAATAGAGAAAGGCAAATACATGTGATCTCATTTATGTGTAATCTTAAAAAAAACTCATAAAGAGGAGATTGATGGTGTCCAGAGGAGGGGGATGGGAGGTGAGTGAAAAGGGTGAAAATGGTCAAAAGATACAAACTTCTGCTTATAAATTAAGTCCTGGGGATCTAATGTACAACATGGTAACTATAGCTAATAATACTGTATTGCATATATGAAAGTTAAGGGAATAGATCTTAATAGTTCTCTTCACAAGAAAAAAGTTATAACTGTGTGGTGATAGATGTTGACTAGGAAAAAAAATGGAAAGTGTGACATTGCATGTTCCAGTATCTTTATTACATTGCTCTTTATATTATTGAAGAATTGGAAAGAAACTAAATTCCCAGCATTAAGGGATTTTTAAAATTTTGTAATACATTTATTGTGGTGCCATTGGTTAATAGTATCATATAGATTTCAAGTGTATATATCTATGATACAAGATCTGTATATTGTACTATGTGCCCACCGGGATCTTAATCTATGCATGCTCTCACATTTCTGTTACTTTTGTACCTTCTCCATTTTGCTTCTGTGGAGGTCTATCTGAGCTATTTAATATTTTCTTTTAAATTGACTTTTAACTTTAGCCCTGGCCAGAGCTATTAGAGCAAGAAAAGCCTAGGTCTGTGTTAGTTATATTTATTTCAAATAATACATTTAAATAAATGCATAAAGTGAAGATGGTTGTCTGTGTATATCCAAAGTAATTTTATGTACTCTCTGTAGTGTTTGTACCAGTCAAAAGGAAAGCTCTGGTTAGTGGTACATTCATGTTATTAGCCTTTAGAAATGTTGACGTAGTTATATATTTGACTTAAAAAGATGTGTTTTTTTTAAATTAGATGAGAAAACAGTGTGTCTTATGCATTTACTTTATAATAAATTTATTTTGTAATAAATAGGTTTATGTACTTGGAATACTATAACACTAAATAAAATATTAACAGCGGTAATGGCTCAGTGATGTGATTATGAGGAATTTTAAAAGTATGATTTTAAACTTAACTATAAATTCTCATTTTATCTCCTTAAAAACTAATTATGAAAGCTCTTAAATATTATTAAAACTTGTCTTCACCACTATTTACTTTTTGCTCTGTGTGAAACAGGCTATTCAGAAAGGGAATACAGAAGTTGCAAGAATACATGCTGAAAATGCAATCCGCCAGAAGAACCAAGCAATTAATTTCTTGAGAATGAGTGCTAGGGTTGATGCTGTGGCAGCCAGAGTTCAAACTGCAGTAACAATGGGCAAGGTAAGGCTTAATATCGATAAACAGTAGGAACTCTTGATTTAAGTTTAATGAGAGTATTAGGAGTTGCTGGAAATCTAAATCCATTGCAAGGTGCTGTAGATTGCTAGTAAATGCCTTTATGGGCAAGAGAGACATAGTCAAAGTATGTCTTTGACTATGGTGAGGAAAATGATTTTGACAGTGGCTTTTAAACTTAGATTTATGAGTTGTCTTTCAATAAAGAATCAAAGACCAAACATGCATACTGTACTTTTACTGTTAAAGAAAGGGTAGGTAAATTGTATATGTTGATCTGTAAGTAATATATTTAAGAGACTACCTGAAGTTTGAGATTACTTATAGCATGCTCAATCTTTTTTTTAATACTTCCAATAGGTAACCAAGTCCATGGCAGGTGTAGTTAAATCTATGGATGCTACATTGAGGAGTATGAACCTTGAAAAGGTAAAAAAAAAATTATTTGATGTTCAGATAGCATCTTTTCAGTATAAGTTTTTCTTATGACCATATTTCTTTTTACAGATTTCTGCCCTGATGGACAAATTTGAACACCAATTTGAAACACTGGATGTTCAAACACAACAAATGGAAGACACAATGAGTAGTACTACAACCCTAACAACACCACAAGTAAGAATAGTTTCTTTACTTAGAATAACTTTTTAGAAATTACCTGAGTTCATAATATAATGGCTTTGTGAGCCAAAATCATCTCTAGAATGTGAAGTAAACATGGTGTATCCCCAAAATGCAAGTAAGAAGTTATGCTTTGCCCCTGGATTCCTAAGGACATGTTGTAAGATGCCATTCCCTATCTTATTTTGAAATTCTAAAAATTATATTAGGTCAAATGTCTAGAGAGTTTGGAACTTGGTTCTACCTGGTTAATCAAATGAACAAAGAAAGACTTGGTATTACTACTTTACTAATATGGAGAAAATGTAATTTACAGAATAGGTTAGGAAGTAATCAGCAGCTGTCCATTGATATTTTAATTCCAATGACTCTTTTCACAAAAAGGTAAATAAGAGAATAAGCTTATGTTTAGGTTTTAGAGTAAAGAAAGAATGAATTCATGTGTATATCTTTTTTTGTAAATATATTTTATTGAGTTTTTACAGAGAGGAAAGGAGAGAGAAAGAGAGTCAGAAACATCGATGAGAGAGAAACATCGACCAGCTGCCCCTTGCACACTCCCCACCGGG